GCATGTATGATAGTACTGAAAACATGAAGATGCCATTTTTCTAGAAGATAGTACTTTCTTATTCTCTCCTTCAAAAACTGCATCTGTCTTCAGGGGAACGTTGGTAGTAACTCTGGTAGTAAATAATGCTCACATCATGATCTGCTGATGAAAACAATCAAAACTGAATTTTCTCTTTGGCAAAATTTTGTCCTTCACCACAGTGTGGAACAGATAGAAGATTCTAAAGCAGTTTACAAATATTCAGTCAGTTCTCTTTTGCAAACAGGTAACTGCGTTATGATAACTTGTTGAATATATTCACCACACATTTCCTCAGATCAAAGATTGATTTGAAATAAAGGGATATAAGACTCCACTTTTTCCCTGTGCAGCCCTGTTCTTTTCCCCCTCAATTACTAGGATCCACTTTCTTATTGAGGTCACAAGACAGCATTGCTGACATGTCCAAGTAAAAAGCTACCAAAGAAAAAAGCAGTGACTAAGTGGTAGCATGAGGACAGTGGGTTAACCCACTCGTTTCTCACTGCTGAGTTATCCTTAGTTCAATGGAATCACAAAATAGGATCACGGGGGCTTCTTTGCACAAATAAAGTCAGTTTCAAAAGATGCCCGGATTTTGGTCAGTCTGCTGCCACTGAACAGAAGCATCCAAATCTGGCAGCATTTGAGGGTAGTTTTAATCGGTCTCAACTCTAAAATGAAATTCCTAAAGAAAAGACAATCTTGGGTCCTCATCTTACAACAAGGTTCCATATGAGCAAACGCCAATCCACATAAATTAGTATCAATCTATAAAGTGTAATATTCCTTGCTCTATATCTTCAGGTTATCGTGTGGGAGATTTATCTGTCCAGTCAGGTGGAGACTGCGTAAACGAAAGCCATATATAATATTCCCTCCCAGGCATGTGCTATTAAACGCACTGCACAATATTTAAAAATGAGGAACACATGCAGGGTACAAATGAGAGCGAAGCCATTTATTCTGAAAACTTATCTCTGCACCTTCCTGTTTCATTCTGTGGGTATTTTTTTATTGCAGATATTATTTACTTTCCTATTATCCTGATGCAACTGTTGGAGGGGGAGAGGCAAAACTTCAGGGGCTTCAAAGCATGATTCCTCTAGTTAAATGGCTCCCATTTAGAAACAGTTCCTCTGAAAATGTATCACGGGGTATCTCATTTTTATAAATTCTCTACTCCCTCTTAAAAATCTCTCTTTCAGTTGCCAATAAAGATTTAAATGCTTTTGGAAGAAATATTCATCAAAACTAACACAGCTGTGAATGACTGACATCAAGCATGAAGAGGGGAAAAAAAGCATGTCAATGTTTCAACACATTACTTGTTGAACAACTTTTACTCAGCTCATCTGCATGAAATGGGTGTGCCAAAAGTTGGACATGCCAGCAGATGGTTACAAGCACTGTTTGGCATGCATCTTGCTGCCATTCCACATTGCTGAAAGATGAAACACAATTCCCCTGAAGAGGCCCTATTTTCTAAAATAGTGATTTAGATAGAACAGAAAAACTATAGAAACTGTACAGTTGGGCCCTAGACCTTCAAGTCCCAAATCTGTGTTGTCTTGCTTGCTAATTTGATTTTTAGTATTTCTGAACAGCAGTCCTCTCTTTTCAGAGATCAGTGCCTCTTAACCATGAATGTGTGTCGTAAGTACTAAGGGCATTTCTTTCAAGTTGTCTATGTCCAGACCTCACCTGGGTCACCACGCTGACTCAGACATCCCAGGGTGGGGCCTGGGTATGTGTATTTTCAAAAGCTCACCAGGTGATTGTGCAGTGTATCCCTGGTTGAGAACAACTATTCCAGATCATTTTTTATGTTGATGAGCAAATAATTACGACACACAAATGTGCCTACGATGACCAATATAATTCTACCTTAGTCCTCATGGCATTATCTAAGTGTTCCCCTTTGCTATATCAGTCCTTCCTCTGAATTTCTTTCTTTGAAATAGTCTTGGAGCTTTCCATAGTTTGATAATTTTCCTAGAGAAATTTTAGGCTAAGTCAGTGTATAATAGGCACTCTTCATTTGGGGAGGCAAAGTGCCAACTTAGATCAGCAAATCCTTCCAAAATAAAGCCACTGTAACTTACAGTCATTTAACCAATATTCATTCAGCAGTATATATGTGGTGGGAAAGGCTAAGAACGCAAGAAAAACAAGATGTGGTTCTTATGCCCGCAAGGAGCAAGTATTATGTAATTAGGGTAAAAATATACGGACAAGTTAAGAAAAGTTAAATAACCACATAAGAAAGCACATGATTCAGTATGAAATTACCAGTATTTACAATGAGGACTCTAAAAATTCAAAAGAAGTAGTGTTCATTCCAGACACTCAACAGTCATGCCACATTTCTGAGAGGGCCTGGGGTTTAAAGAATGGGTAGGGGATAGACGAGCAGTGCAGAGGATATAGGTGTCCATGCCAGGAACACAGCATAAACCAGGGCAGGAATGAACGAAGTGCAGCCAGTGAAAAGACAACCTTCTGGAAGGAAGGGGTCTTTTGGGTGACTGATACCAAAACACATAAAGGCCAGTCTAGCTAACAGGCTAAGGAGCCTAATAACTTCTCCTATAGTTGCAGAAAAATCATCAAGGTTTAAAAGTAACAGAACATGAAGATAATAGCATTTGGGGATTTTTTTTTTTTGTAGCAAAATATCTATGAATGCAAGATAAATAATAAGGAGAGCTATGAGAGCAATGAAGATCAGGGGCATGCCAGTGGCTTTACAAAGAACTAATGGAATGCGGTGAATGACTGGTTTGAGCCTCTAGCCTGTAAGAGAATGGAGACATGCGAACAACAGGAGAAGAGAAGTCAGAAGGCGGAAGCAAGTCAGAGTTACCAGTTGGGAGAAAGCAGAATGATGCCTCAGAAGAAACCTCTTCGTTGGACACTTGACTTTGGAAGAGCCTGGCAAGAGGAAATAACTTCTGCCCAGAGGATGGAAGGTAGAGTGGGGAAAATAAGAGGTTGAAGACTGAATCTGGAGAGGCCCAGTCAAAGAAAATGGAAAAATGCAGAGTAACTGATGCAAACAGAAGCCCTTGGAAAGGCAGGAGAATCCAGTAGCAATCCAGAGGTTAAGGAAGAAGAGAGTTTCAAAACAAAGTTCATCAGCACACTCCTCTGCAATAAATAAGTCCAAGGCCACCAGTACTGTCTCAGTGCTCATCCCAGCAGTCCTGCCATGTGTCCTAGCCCACAGCTGACCTTTCTCCTCTCATCTTTAGTTATTGACTGTCCATACCAATTGTTCAGCACGCACACCTGTCTACTGTATAATGCCACTGAGGTACATATACTCAGGTATTTGTCATATCTCCTTGACACTATAATAATAAACTCGTTGAAGAGAAAGATTATAATCAATACTTTAGGTACCACCTCTCCCCAAGTTGTGCCTTCACATTGCCATGCCTTTAGCAACCATTTAGAAATATTTTTAACTGATTTTTAGCCTAGGCAGATAAAGCCCAGCTGAATTCAGGGAGAAGACATAGATATTGGTCTAGTGTTGAGCCTTGCTATGGACCAGCAGCATCACCTGGGAACTTGTGAAAAATGCAACCTTAGTTGCCATCGCAGACTCACTGAATGAAGGAGAATCTGCATTTTAACAAGATCCGGTGACGGATTTCTATACATCCTGGTATGGAAACTGGTGTAGATTCAGTGTAGTATAGAAAGGACTAGCATTGACTTACCAAAGAAGTTAGTTGGAGAAAGGGAAGATGGCACATGACTTTCAGCATGGGGTTCCCTGTGCCAAGACCCAGCTTCACCCCTGCTCAGACCCAGAGCCCAGTGGAGCCCAGGCCCTTTGCATATACGGTGGGGCAAGGCCAGGAAGCAATTTCACCTTTTGATCTTGAGCCCAGATACATAAATTCTTCTTCCATAAACTGCTACTAAGTTCAATTATAGGAAGGACTTTGCAGATTATATCTACTGGGTTGTTTTTCCAGGTTTTATAAATATCTGACCTCCTGAAGATCCTGTTTATGCTCCCCATATTTATCCAGCCCTAGGAATTTATGATATTATTCTGCCTCTAACTCATTTCTCCCAGAACTCTAGGTTTCCCTCTAAGTTTTAGACTGCAATTGCTGAAATACTTTTCCAGCATAATTTAAAGCTAAACCTGAAAATGCAACTTCAACCCCAAACAGAAAGAGCCTTCAACAAAGGGAGCAACACTGCCAGCGCTGTTGTTCCAATGACCAGGTGTCAGGAAAAAGCTCCCAAAGGACGGAGCGTTAGACAAAGGCACAGTGATATGCCAAAGGATGAAGACCAGATGGACCAATGAGCTCAAGGCACAGTATCTTCCCTTTGTTGGAAATGCTTCAGTATTTCTTTCTCTAACTTTCCTACAGGTAAGTGTATGGAGTGTCGCTAGTTCAAAATAGCACTGTGCTAGTTCTCTGTGGGTCTTTTATTATTCTTAACTGCTTTATTGGTATATAATTTATACACCACGAAGTTCACATTTCAGAAGTGGAAGAGACCTTCATTCCATCCCCCACCTTTAAGCAATGCTTCATTAAATTCACCCAAGGAATATAATACAGTTATTTCTTAAATCTCCAGGAATCACGACTCTCTGATAATACATCTAACATCTCAGCTTTTACCAGTGGAAAGAACATCTTGACAAAGTCCCCTCTGTTAAAATTCAAACTATTAGAGTAATGACTTCTAGTGCGCAGGCCCCTGTAATCTGCCTACTTTGTAGGAACTCCACTAGAAAGTGAACTTCATTTACTGAATCCAAAGTGGAAATCACAAATTCTTACAAACTACTATTCCCTCAGCTTTTTTTGTGGCCTATTTTTCCACCAGGTGGATGCTTTTTAGGGGCTGCTGGAGCCTGCATGAAGCCTTTATTTTTAACCTCAGGGATGGGATGAGTACTTAGGCAGGTTTTTCTTTCAAAAAGAAAAATAGCAACTTACATGCTCTCACAGAACTTCCTCAGTGTGCTTGGCTTCTCCTGGTTGCATCTTTGTCGAAACCAGCGCTGAATGCTGCGAACATCCCAGTCCAGCTGCTTGGAGAGGCCTTCCAATCTCTTTTCATCAGGATGCTATGAAACAAGGTGCCAGCAAAATCATTTTCGTCTTCACTATAAAAACATCTGCCCTTGTCTAAATTGAGATTTTTGTTTCCCCCTATATTTACTACCTGCTACTGAAATTTCTGTATTTACCACTGAGGACCTAGTCCTTCCATTAGTAGCATGGACATAAATAACCACTTAGGATAAAAAAAAAGTTACTCATTAGGAAACAACACTGAAAAATACGAACCTTGCTCTACTGCTTGCACTTATCAGCCACAGAAATGCAATGAAACAGCCAATGGGCTGAGTCAGCCCCATCAGCCTTCAAGGAAAGGAGTTGGGTTAGGGTGAATTTGCGAAGAGGCATCATTCAAAGGTTTCACTTTCTCAGGAAAAAAAATGCTATACCCAAATATCACACATCAGGGTAATGTAGGGCGGACAAAAGCACAGAGTAATCTCAACAGACCTCACTTTAGCCTAAGGCACCAATTCTACTGCAAAACATGGATTCTCTTTCTTCCTTTTCTCTCTCTTTGCTCTGCTGCTCACACATTTCTCTTCTATTCCTCTTCCTGGTCATTCCTTCGGACCAGATCCCCGTTAAACCTTTACAACAACTATGCATTACTTGAAGACACAAACTTGGTGAACGGGGAAGAGACCCTGCTTATGGCTCTCCATATGATGACACTATTTCTCTCACTCATGTCTGTAATATTAGGAGGTGACAGCCAGGTTCAATTTCTCATTCTAAAGACCTCTCAGCCTTGGTTCCCTCACCTGTCAGGGTTATTTACCCACCTAAATAGGACTGTGATGACGACCAAATGTAAACAATATGCCTAAGTCTCAGTAAATGTTCATTTCTCCCCTTTCTTATGTTTACCCTCTCTTGAATATCTCAGAGACCATTCTGTCCACAATTATGTGAGCGTGTTCTGCAGCACAACAAAACTCAGCCGAGTGAGGTCTATTCCTTTATTCTATCTTTCCTTTACTATAAATGAGATGCTAGTGATTAGAAGAAATAACCAAAAATGGGGTTGGGGGGAGGCTGAGCAGCCTCAAGTTACAATGGTGGGATATAACTCTGACACCTGTTCAAAGCATCTCAAGCAATTCAAGATGCCAGAGACACAGGGAACACAGCAAGTGGCCGCAGTATTATGACTGAGGTTATAAAATGTGCTGAGCTTCTGTTTGTGAAAGTCCTTTGCCAACTTTCAGTGAGGTGTGTACTTTGACATGTTTTTGCTTTTAGTAGTCATGACACCATCTACACTCTCCTTTTATGTCCATCTTAATGAAAAAATAGGGAAGAGAGAAAATTCACATCCTACCACATACCATGGCTATACCATTTTCCTGGAGGAATCAATTTTTAATTTCAATTTGTTTTCTCAGCTTATTGAATAGGTCAAACATTCACATGGTTCACAAGTTAAAAACTATGCAAAGTTTCACCTTCCTATTTTATTCCTACTATTCTTCCCCTTCCTACCAGCTAACCAGTTATTAAATCAGTTTCTTTCCCAGAGTTATTTTATGTAAATATAAGTAAATCTGAATATGTATTCTCATATATCCCTTTGTCACACAAATGGTTGCATACTACATGTATCATTCTGAACTTTGAGTTTTTTACTTAACAATATATCTTGGAATATTTCCATATTAAGACATAAAGAATGTCCTCCTTCTTTTGTAGAACTGTCAGTATATGCTGTAATTTACTTATCCACTCTCCTGTTAGTGGACATTTAAGTAGCTTCTAGACTTCCACCACTATAAACAATGCTATAATAAATCATCTTGTCATAGGTCATTTTATACAGGCATAATAGAGATAAATTCCTGGAAGCAAATGTTGGAGATCAAAGATCTATGCATTTGCAACTTATTTAGATATTGAAAAGTTACCCTAATGATTTTAACCAATTTATACTTTCACAAGCAAGAATGCCCATTTCCCAATACCTCACCAATAGAGCACATTATCAGATTGTTCAATTTCCTTCCAGTCTGATATAAAGTCGTGTCTCAGTATGTTTTTAACTTGATTTCCTCTTTTTATGAAACAGGAAAAACCATGTATACTCCCTTTTTATGAACAATCTTTTCATATATTGCACACCTTTTTTCTTGATCTGTAAGTATTTTACTGATTTGTAGAGTTTCTTCATTTGTTAATTAGGGCGATTAAACCTGTGTCTGTACCAGAGGTTGCATACTTTGTAACAAGGTCTTTGTGTTTTAGAATTCATCATGGGGTTTTCTGCTTGTTTTTTATTTGAAGTTTTTGAAAAGCTTATTTGAACTTATCAATTTTTTTCTGTTATAACTTCTGAATTTGGGGTCATAATAAGAAAAGCATTCCCTACTCCAAATGTTCAAGAAATTAACATAGGATGAACTGACATCTTTACCCAATTTGTCTTTTGTATCCTTTGACAGTGTTTGAAAAATTTCCTCACATACCTTGCACATCTTATTACATTTATTCTTAGGGATATTATCTTTTCTGGTAGTGTTTGTGGTAACTTTTCACTTGATTCCTTTACTTTTCCATGTAGTCATATAATAACATGTAACTAGAATGTAAGCTCTATAAACAAAAAGGAATTTTTTAGTATCTTTTTTCACCTAAAATTTAGTAGGGACTCAGTAAATTCACATAGCAATAGCTTCACTTCCTCATTTCTAATTTTTATGCCTTTATTTTCTTTCTCTTATCTATTCGCTAATTCAGTGTAAAACTGAGCACGAGGTAGAGCAGTGGTTATGAGCATCTCCATCTGTTCCAGACTTGAGTGAGAATACCACTGTTTCTCATTAAGCAACAGGCCAGATTTGGAGCTGACATACAAATGTATTTACCGTGTTAAGAAAACCACACTTACTTTGTTAGATAACTTGATTTTAATCACTTAAATAATGTTAGATTTCAGCAACCACGCAGATGACCATGTACTTTTTCTCCTTAGATCAATTAATATGATGTATTATATAGATTTTTATAATACTGAATACAAGGAAGGCCTTGCAGTCCTAGAATAAATACACTCCGGCGATGATAAATAATTCTTGTACTGTACTTTTAAGTTCTGTTTACTAATTTTTATTTGGGGATTTTTCATTGATGTTAGTAAGTTCAATTGGTCTCTAAGTCTTATTTTTTGGTTAAATCTTTGTCAGACTTTAATGTTAATTAGTATTTTATTGCTACATAAAAAGAGAATTTGGATGATTTTCTTAATTTTCTATGGTTTGGTATAGTTTAAAATAGCACTGGAATTGTCTGCTCTTTAAGAGTGTGTTAGAATTATTCTTTTTGTTTTTTTTTAATGTAATGTTAATGTAATTTATTTTGGGGGAGTTCACTATAAATTCTTTTTTTTATTTTATTATGTTATGTTAACCACCATACATCATTAGTTTTTGATGTAGTGTTCCATGATTCATTGTTTGCATATAACACCCAGTGCTCCATTCAATACATGCCCTCTTTGTGTTAGAATTTTTCTTTTGAGAACATCTGACCCCGGTACTTTTTTGCAGTTTAGCTCTTTGATTTCGATCTATCTATCTATCTACAGTTGGTAAATTATATTTTCCTAGAATAATTTCCATTTTACCCAAATTTTTATATTTTCTTTGCCATATTAATAGGAATATATCCTTTTTATTTTCCTCCATTTCTGCAATTGTTGATTATTATGTTAATTCTTATGTTGTAAATTTGTGCTTTTTTATTGGGTTAGCTAACTTTTGGTAAAAAAAAAATTAGATAAGGTACTTTTGAATTGATTTTCAATGTTATAGTTTTGCTAACATAATTTCTGCATTTATGCTAATTTCTGTCTTCTGCTTGCCTTTATTTGTTTTGTGGTTCTTTTTCTAATGTTTAAGTAAGTGTTGAAATTTATATATATATATATATATATATATATATCAAGTACCACATCAGCACAGTACAAATGAGTGATGTTTTCATCCTGTTACCAAATATTCTGAATTTCTATTTTTACCTAAGAGTTGATTAAGAAAGCAAGAGATTGGGGCGCCTGGGTGGCTCAGTCGTTAAGTGTCTGCCTTTGGCTCAGGTCATGATCCCAGGGTCCTGGGATCAAGCCCCGCATCAGGCTCCCTGCTCCACAGGAAGCCTGCCTCTCCCTCTCCCACTCCCCCTGCTTGTGTTCCTGCTTTCGCTGTCTCTCTGTCAAATAAATTAATAAAATCTTTAAAAAATAAAAAATAAAAAGCAAGAGATTTTCTGTTTTCTGATTTCTAGTACTATTAAGTTGTGCCTGTTTTTATTTTATTTATTCAATTTTTATTATGTTAATCACCATACATTACATCATTAGTTTTTGATGTAGTGTTCCATGATTTTTATTTTTTTAAAAGATTTTTTATTATTTATTTGTCAGAGAAAGAGAGAGAGCACAAGCAGGGGGAGCGGCAGAGGGAGAAGCAGGCTCCCCACTGAGCAAGGAGCCTGATGCAGGACTTGATCCCAGACACCCAGGCGTCCCAAGTTGTGCCTATTTTTAAAATTTATTACAGTTTTGTATATATTTAATGATTTAATCAATTTTTGTAAATATTTAAGAAAGTATGGTCTTTACATTCAGAATACAGGGTTCTAAATGTACCACTTAGATCTTCCTAATTATGCCTCTTAGAATTTCTATCTTCTGTTTTACATTTTGTTCACTTAATCTGTTATGACCCAGAGGTAAATTAAAATTTCCTGCTATTAAATTACTTCTTCTTTCATTCTTTTTTATGAGTATATGGATACATTGACATTCAATGCATATTAGTCATAACTTTTATCTTTATTATGAGTTGTATCCTTTGGCAAGAAAAAGCCAGTTCTTCCTTTCACTTAATCCTTTTTGGCCTGAGTTCCCCTTTGATGTAAAAATAAAAACTCTACTTTATTATTTGTATTTGTCTATATACCTTTACTCATACTTTTATTTTCAATATTTGTAATTATTTTTTTGAAGGTCTCT